AATATGGACATGCTGGTCGCCTGGGGGAAACACCTTACTGCCTTCACACTCCTGTCGCAGAGGACACTACGACTTTACCCCCAGGCCGCCCCGTGCCACGATTGCTCGTAGTGCGGGGTCTCGCTGCTCTTGGTCTGGCTCCTCCCCTTTGGCTTTCCTGGCATGGTTGTACCTTGTGGAACGAAGTTCCAGCCAATGTAGCCCGCGGGATCATTGCAGCACTGAAGCCCGGCCACCACGTCAAGGTGGCAGCTTTAGGTCGGGAACACGTCACCATACATGTTCCAACGCCCAACTTGGAGGGCCAGGAGACTACGTTCGTCGGACCTCTACCCATGGACCAACCTGGTATGAGAGACTCTGTGAGCACCATGCGGACACCCCCCAGTATAGCTCAATGGGTCGACGAGGTACACAAACTACCACACCACGGTAAGGTACAGTCTCTTCGTGACGGGCTTTCTCGCAGTGAAAGATAGATATGGGAAATCGTGCACCGCAGACTATATTTCCTGGAACACACGGGGAGTTGGTGCCATCGTCTCTGTTGTGTAACTTCATGTGTCACCTTGAGATGATACATGATGAGAACTTGTTTGGTTCTGTCTATGTTTTTGGCTCTAATCTGGAGCCAAGCAGTTTGAACTATGAAAATCAGTGTTTTGGTAGAGAGGAAGTACTGCCTGCTGTTCGTTGCTTCGGAAAACAGTTACATGGTATTAACACTTCACGAAAGTGATAGGAGTAAGGCGCTCAACTCAGTGAAGCTGAACATTGGTTGGACACGTAGGGACATAAATGAGAATGAATAGGTGCACAGGGAACACGCTTTTTGGTATGACAAGCTGAACGGTGACAACTCGATACGTTTTACTGGGTGTCCTGTTTGGTAATTTGTTGTTGTGGACCCAAGGAACTAGAAGAATGTTGATGAGTCCGCTTTCATGTGTCCGCTGGAACATCGCATTCCGATATTATCAGCACAGTTGACACCATTTGCTCTTATTTCGAGAGTTTCGGAAGCTAACACCGTCGGTAGTAGTTGTCATTAGTGTCAATTTGCTGATCGGTCGATTGTTCGAACCGATTTGACTAGGCAGTACCTTACCCTTCATGCTCCGCACTGCAGGCGCGGAAACTATTCAAGAAAGATGTGCCACACCTGAACGGTTTGACCAATATTTCGTATCATGTTGCTAACGAATTCCCGTGTACTTAACCGTTCTGTCAGGAGCCTAAAAGGATATCGTTCCATTGTTTACTTCTTGACGCTTACTCTTTTGAGTGTAAACTGAACATCAAAACCATTTTGTCTGCGTGTCCACTGGGCTCTCGCCTTTTGTAGTCCAGCTGCACGGTCGCTGTAGAGAACCTCAGGTACATGTATTTTACGGCCGTTCAATGAAGCGTAAGCATTCTTCAACCCAACTCCACTTTCATCGACGCTGCCCTCGTAGTTCATTTATACAACTGACTACGGATCGCCGAACATTTTTAACGTATATATATATATATATATATATATATATATATATATATATATATGTATTCCGCCGCGTTCTGTGGTATTTCGAATTTTTGAATATCAGCCTACCTGCATAGTCTACAGATAAACATCTCTCCTATATTATGTCAGTGATGACACTAAGTCAAATGTACGAGTTCTCTCAGAACCTCCAATTTCACACCAACCAGTTCTCATATCATGGATGGTGAGTTAGCGCTTTCACAGCGCGCAGCACCTGTTTTAGTTGGAAAAGTTCTCAATCTTATCGCACTGCTCCTTTTAGTCCTTGACCTACATATGATGAGTTCTCGCCTTTTTTGTGTCAACATGTTAAGGGCTCTGATCACACTTCGCTAGCTGCAGTGTTCCTTCTCTAATGTTGAAGAATGAACGTTAAGAGGCCTTCACTTTTGCCGACAAGCGCTGCGATATGGTGTCCACTCTTCTGGAGGCTAGTTTTCAGTTGCTTCCGTCTGTAGTCGACTTCTCTATTTATAACTCTACTTTGATGTGGCCGCATCGTTTTTCGCACGGAATCTCCTGGAGGACCACTTCCACATTTATTTTAGGTCAGCTTTTCTCTCCTGTCTGCCTGTCTATCGGCTTCACTTTATCTGTTTGCAGGCTGAAGTATCATCGTGCGCTACACATTGGAACAGAATTCAGTTCCCGATGTTGATCGCACTTCGTTTGCACGTTCTACTCGGTGTCAGATAGATTCAGCATACAATACTGTTCTTGGGATTGAGTCATTTTAATTTGACTTGCTCTTTTATTTTTCCGGAGGTTTATCCAAATGTTCACAATTGATCGCCTCAGGCTTTCTGAGCTTTTCATCTACTACCCGCATCTGTGCCAGAGAGAAGGAGACGTAAGTTTTTTTTTGTGATATTTGTTTCCTATGGCTTTGCCTTCCATTGTAGAGCTCACATTTTCTATTTCGATGTACCTACTTTCTTTCACAAACGTTGCTTAAGCAATGACACCCAAAATGTTTTTTTAATTCCAAAACAAGTAGTCAGCAGGCCCTCTATCTATAGCTAATAAGTTCGTACTGCTGTGTTAGATAAATTTTATTTGAATCAAAATCATTTATTTATTCCAGAAGCATCTGCTCCGGTTGTTGAAATGTGAGAAACCTTCTTGATCTTGCCGACCTACTTATTATCACATAGGTTCTACACAAACATCACGTCAACATTGCGTGCCTCCAATCTTTGTCTACCCGCCTATGGACCTAAGCTTATTAGGGTGTCCAGCACAAACCATTTGTATTTATTGCAGTAGGATGACTGCATCCAACTCAGTTTTTTTTCACACTCGGTCAAAACACTAATGATATCGTCATCTCATGGGTGTCCATGTCAACAACTGTCATCATTCGACTCAGAGGACGTCCCCTCGGGATCTCGCTGAGCTCCATATGTGCGCCGACTTTGCCACTTTAGGAGGCAAACTTAAATTGTATGATCAACTGTGATCTGGCGTTATCCCTGTTCTGGTTGTAGCCGTGGACAAAGATGCTAAGACCGACCCTTTAGATAATTTGACCAGATTTTTTCGTAGATTCTACAGGTTAGAGTTACCAGCATAGTTTACAACCAATCAGCTCTGCAGCTTCCAACTCAACATGTGTCTCGAATGTGCGTATTCACCACCCAAGAAGACTTCATGTTAAACTTGGATGATGGACGATAAGTTGAGTTTCAAACAGCATAGAACCAAAACTAGACTTGATAATGCAATGGAAGTGGTATCTCCTAAACGCCAGAGCATCGACAAGTAGGAGAACATATACCGGCGTTTTTGACTGGTGATTGCAATCGAGGCCAATCTGACTGCCGCCGAGGTTAACCCAGATTTTGATTGAAATTCGGTAATTCGCACCGAACGCATCCATTCCTCAAGCAGCCTCAGTATAAGTTGGTGTTGGTAGTGAAAGGTCCTGTGAATTTTTGAGGGAGACTTCGATATCACTGCAATCTTGGATTTTCTGTCACTCCTTTCAAATCCTGCACGATTTGGTTGTATCACAGCCCTTCTGCCCCAGGTTGTATGTATGGCAGCCGTGTTTTGGAGGACACCACAGTCTAACGCTTTGATTCGAGATTAGTTCAGTGTTACCAGGCAAATCGCTGACTTATCCCCTTGATTCTGTTATTGGTGGTGATTAGATTGCAATAATAGATTTTAGGTTCCATCTAAGTAGTAGTTTGGTCCATACGTACTATCCATCAAGGAAACTTCTGATTTTTACTCCAAATCTTTGTTAACAACTGGTTCACTGGAACAGGTTACAGAGTGCGACACAAACGGTTGCTATTAATCCATGTACTCTGTGGTCCTTTCGCTGCTGGCTGGGATGCGAGTTAATTCTGTTGTACGTGGCTGGAAACTCTGTAGGGCATATATTAACGATTTCAATGACGGGTTTGCTGTCGGTTTCTGACGGATCAAATGCTCCTAATATACAGATGTATGTTGAATAAGGTTTGTAAGGGATAGTGGCACAGTCCTTCTGATGACCTCCAACTCCAAAACGAAACTCGGGTACACTCACTTTAATACATTTAATACCTGAATATATTAGTGTATAATAGCTCCCTTCCTAAAAGTTCTATATGTGAACGCCATCTCCGACTTTTGGGGTTTCGGCACCAGGTTGATGTGCACAGAGTAATCCACTTAGAAGTCAGTTCAGCTCAGCTTATCAGTTATAAACCATGTTCCAAAGATACGTTGGTTCTACCTGCTCTAGTTTCTGTCACCTGAAAATGGGAGAGCAAGGATAATATCTCCAGGCACTAAAGTCGATGGGATAATTATTTGGTTTGTACTGAATCGGTCTAATTGTTCAGAGAAGCTGGATACCAGGCAGCCAGTTATCGAATACGACAGCTGTGTTTCATCATTGCCTTTCACTGTGATTGGATCATGTCCGGCAGTGTCGTTAGGCGTTGGTGGGTTGAGTCACTTGATCCCCACTAAAGGAGGTGACAGTTGCCAGCCCGATAGAGTTTACTGACTAGGGCTTCCAAACTTTAACGCCAGGTGATGGACTGCCCATCCATTGGTCACTTCAACTCAGCATGGGGACGAGGTAAATGACCCTCTGACTTTGTTGGGTTGTGCGGTGGCCGAGCTATTGGTTACGCCTGCACTGAGCCTGCCAGACTACGCGATAGAGAGAAGACAGAGAACTGGGGACACGACTGTATTGCCAGGACCAAACATACCGAGCGTCTGCGTAAATATATATAGGAGGACTAATTGACCAAATATGGTCGCTCACTTGTTCGCTCCGTACAGCCAATGGTGGTGTTCCGGTCGTGAATATTCTCAGGCCCACTACGCTGGTCGTGTGTTGCTAAACCGTTTGGTGAGAGCCGCCAACTCACCTAATTTTCGAACGTGTCGAACCGATGGTGAACCTTGGGGAGCGTCACTCTGCACATGTGCTTTTTCTTCTGTCTGGGCGTGCCTTGACATTTCCCCCTTTTGGAGATAGGTCATACGTTGGTCCCTACCCTCGAGATTTCAACAGTGCTCGTTTAAAAGTATCCACAAATCTCTCGGCTTGGCCATTTGATTGAGGGTGGTTTGACAAGCACTTAGTGTACGGGCTGCGACCTTATGAGTTCCTCTTCCAAAACGAGTCAGGCAGCTTCTTGAATATGTTTGCTTTCGTCGCCTGTGTCTTGTAACAGATGGTATTCAGTGGCCTGTCCGAAAGGTTTAGCTTGTCAATCCAATCTAATCCTAACAAATCCAATCCAGGACGATCGGACACATGACAAATGCCACTTACATTGATACCATCAAGAGTCATGGAACATTTGAACTCACCAGAGAGTTTCAGTCAACTTCCGGATGTCTGCCAGTAAATTTCCAAGTTCTTTTTGAAATGATCGTAATGGCTGATGCCGTGTCCAGCTGGAGACGAACAGGTGTGCTGTTAATACGCACTGATACGTATTTCCTCCTGTTTACGTGTGGGCGTTGATGAGCGGACAGAACAACACGAGCCTTAGGAAGTTCGGAGTGGGGAGTTCTGGGTGGAAAATGCTTCTTGGGTGCTTGCCTTTTTTTGCCATGACACCGATCTCCTTTGTGTCCAGTAGGGGAGCACCTGTTGCAGCGGTGTCTTCTGAACGGACAGAAATTGACGAAATGCCACTCACCACATTTCCAGCATGCCGAAGGTGGTTTCTTGTCACCCTGACGGACAGTATGCTTCTGAATCGCATGAACAGCATTGCTGGGGTCACTTTCTTGTATCATGACAGTATCACGCTTCAGATTCATCAGGCACTGGCATTCCGACGTAATATTGTGTAATGTGACGTCTGGGTTCTGCTCAATCTTGCTGAAGATTCTTGTTCTTCTGTCTGCGTCTTCAGGAGACGTCAACCCGCACACAAATATAAGACATTTGAACTCATCCTCTGTCATGCTTCGGAGGTTGAAACGTTCACACTCCTTGTTGACTTTGCCCGCGTATGTAACCCAGTCTTCAGAAGCATTCTTGCTCAAATTCATACAGTGAAATCGACGGCTGAACAAGGAAGCCTGTTCCTTGAAGATTGACGATAAAACAGCAACGGTTTCATCGAAAGCCAGGAGGTCACTTGGTTTTCGTTGCAAAATATAATTCGTAAAGCGTTCATGTTCGGCCACTCCAATTTTCCCGACCAACTATCTTGCTCTCTAAGAATCTTCTCTGCTTCCCAGATCCAATCTGAAACATTCTTCATGCTTGTTGAACCAAGAATCAAAAGTATTGCGTGAGATCGGATCGAACTGGAACTCAGGGATCGCGTTGAGCATCGTGTCGATCACTGAAGTGGACGGCTCAATGGTCTGGCTAATCGGCTTCTGTAGTGACAATTTCTCAGTAAGTGTCTCGATGAGATTCAACTGCGCCAGGTCAAACTGTTGCTGCTGCTGTCTGAGGAGAGACTGCATCTGTTCAAATGAAATTGCCATTGTGAACACCCGTCTGCCAGTGTTGTATTGTAGTGGTGGCCGAGCTATTGGTTACGCCTGCACTGAGCCTGCCAGACTACGCGATAGAGAGAAGACAGAGAACTGGGGACACGACTGTATTGCCAGGACCAAACATACCGAGCGTCTGCGTAAATATATATAGGAGGACTAATTGACCAAATATGGTCGCTCACTTGTTCGCTCCGTACAGCCAATGGTGGTGTTCCGGTCGTGAATATTCTCAGGCCCACTACGCTGGTCGTGTGTTGCTAAACCGTTTGGTGAGAGCCGCCAACTCACCTAATTTTCGAACGTGTCGAACCGATGGTGACCTTGGGGATGCGTCACTCTGCACATGTGCTTTTTCTTCTGTCTGGGCGCGCCCTGACAGACTTGCAAAGTGAATTTCTTAAAAAGCACAACTTATGAAGCTTGATTTGCTTCCCCATCGTGAGAGTGTTTCTTTCCAAAACCATCCGGCATGCCTCGACTTTCTTACTGCAGTGTCAGCGCAAGACACGGCTGATACTTCGAAGGCACCGACATTCAAACTCATAGTCTTACATAGTCTTACATACATGGTCTTACATACTCATAGTCATGCATACTTTACGCTTAGAGGCCACGTTTCTGATCTTCAAGGCGATATGGATTGAACTATCACAGCGCATACTCTGTCTTTGACCTGAAGACCAAACTGAATTCTTGACAGTGAAAACTCCGTGTGTACCAGGTCTTTTGAATTGGGTAAATAATTACTTCGGTCTATTTCGCTAGGCGAGAGAGTTGACAAAAAGCAATGGTTAGTGGGCTGGTTGGTTGATCGGTTGAATTGAGTTACTTGAAGGGTTCGGAGGGCATGTGGACAAGGGCTGGTGAGCGAAGACCTGCGAGGACGAAACAATAATTCCTCGTTGCGCATCTTGAGGAAAGGGATTTATCATAGACACCCATCATTGAGGCTTCGGCTCATAATTTTTGGCGCAAAAGGTAATGGGAGGGTGTAGGGTTTCGTTTCGACATCTAACCCGTAGATTTATTCCAGAAGTCTGGGGGTGATATATGTTCCTTACTCGGTATCAATATCTCAACAGTAAGACCCGCTTGGCTGTGGGAGGATGACCATGGCCCCTGGGTCCAGGGTACAGGAAAACATGTCGCACTCCTAATCTTACTTCCCTTAGATTTATCGGGCTCTTGTTGAGTTTCATTTTTATTTCGACCGTATTTCCCAAACCACAAGTGGTCATGGTCAACCGTTGGGCGACCATAGTGCGCAATTTTCAGGGCCATCCTTCCTCTGGGGAAAGTAGACCCAAACCACAAGTGGTCATGGTCAACCGTTGGGCGACCATAGTGCGCAATTTTCAGGGCCATCCTTCCTCTGGGGAAAGTAGAATCACTGCTTCCACAAATATGGACACGCTGGCCGTCAGGAGAAAACACCTTACGGTGCTCACACCCCTATTGCAAAGAATAGTATGACTTTACCTCCGAACTGTCTTGTATCACGGTGAAACGTAGTACGGAGCTCATTGCCCTTCGTCTGACTGCCCACCTTCAGCCTTTCTGCAATGTCTGCACATTTTAAAACGGAATTCCAGCCACCACTGCCCGCAGATAATTGCAGCAGTCAAGCTCATCCAGCATGTCACAGTTGCAGATTTTGTTCTGATTCCAGGAACCAGAACCCCCTGAAAATGGATTTTGTACTTACTAATGATAGGTGATCTCTCTTCGACGGGGGGGGGCTCACTATTACAGAACCCCCTGAAAATGGATTTTGTACTTACTAATGATAGGTGATCTCTCTTGGGGGGGGGGGGGCTCACTATTACGAACATTCCATAAGAGTCCCTTTGGGAGTTTCTCAATATTTCCTTGCAAAACACTTACCCGTCGGTGCTCGTATTTTAGTACGTGATTAATCGCGCCTCGTTACCTTTTGGCCGATATGGTAGTGGTGGTGTACTGAATTAGTTTCTCAAACATGAGTTGTTGTCGAAAGTGTTAGTTAGAGAGATCGACAGACACACAGATACACACGGATGGGTGGTCGTGCAGGCAGATGACAGATAGAAGTGGGTTGTTACTAATCCTATCTTCAGTGGTAGTTTTTTTTTACCCTCCCGGGTGTTGCTTCTTAGTTGTTGATCTAGTTGTTAGCACTTAGGGCACCGAACAGATGACTTTTGAGGATGTGGTAACGTGAAACGGGTTTACAATTGATCGTCAATTTACACTTTACCGCTGCTTTTCCAGCATGTCCCCATGTCCTAAATTCTGTCTTAAATGATTGTTTTCTCACATTTTCCGCGTCGCGAAGGATTTAGTCTACCTGTTACCTGTCCAACATTTCATACCATTAGGTATCGTTTTGACGTAGTGTTTTTGAAATGAATACTGAAACCACCGTTCGTACTGATGAATTTCGGTCCTATACTTTCATAAAGAGTTTTTTTTCATCTGCACCGTATTTCAGGAACACAAAAAGCTACTGTACTTTTTCCCTCACAACACGTCAATGAACGAGCGACTAAAGTCACTTGGCCTATGTGAAGCTGTAATGTCATTCACTCGGTACGTGCTTCCTTTCTGTTTCACTCTGTTTCTCAGGTTTTTCGATTCCGCATGCCAAACACTACAAACCTCCTCAACCAGACGATACTTCCACCCACTGACCAATGACATTTGGGCTGTTATGGTTTGTTTCTTGGCCACCCCCCCCCCTATCACAGCTTTTTGTCTCAGAGTGTAATGTTACCACCAAAGGCCAAACTAACCCAGGATCACGCATATCACATCGATGGTGACTGCCACGTCAATGATCAAGTATTAAGCACCGTTTTGTCAACAGCATGTGAAACATTCGAGGTTGGGATCCTTTTGTCTCACTTTGTTATTTTCTAGCTATTCAATGGGAAGATACCAGCTCTTCTTGACACAGAAGGTTTGGACATTTTGAAACAACGCTTGGATCACTTTTTCTCAAGGGTAACTAACCGCTCGTTTGCTCAGAATGATGACATTCGGGTTATTCTGCCTACAGTATCTCCGAACCATGCTGTTCGAGCATTGTGATTTGTTGGATTGTTTCAATGGGATCCAGTTTACAGCTACTGATCCGGCCGATTTCGCTCGAGTTCAGGGTCTTGTAAACCGCATCAGATATGCATTTCGTTCCATTCGGCACGTCAGTTTCTTCTACGATGGTCGTTTGGTTCAGTGAGTTTGGCTTTTTTTTAACTTTTGATTGGTGTTGTTGCATATTTCAACCTGAAAAATAACCTATTCACATAAAAGAAAGTTTTTCACACTCGAAAGTGTCTTTACTTGTCGGTTATGTCAGACGGCCTTAATTGAAACGCAAATGGACAGTCACAAAGGTGCCGCAAAATGTAGGGTCAATCAAGTAAAAAGCCTTCGGCTACTCACCATTACTTTTAATAACATACAGAGTCCTATAAAGGAGGGTAGGTTTCGATGCAGATAAACTATTGTGTTGGCACTAGAACAAGTAGATGAAGATTCATCCTGCTAAGATCACCGCATACCCGATCATGGTTTTATGTATTATTTTGGCCATCAAATCAAACTCTCTACGAAACGCCTGGCGGAAATAAGTTATGAATCCGACAAAGTTTACGTTCTCTTCCCTTTTTAAGGATAAGTTAAAGTTCTCCCTAGATTTCACTGATAACGATAAACCAACAGGGTCCCGCTTTGTGAGGCAGTATTTCTTAGAATCCTAGGAGTGTATCATGGGAGAATACGTACAATGTGTATACGTCTGTAGTCATCGACATGTGTTTGAGATAACTCAGTGCTTAAGGCGTCACCAGAAGGTTCGTGGTTCGAACCCAACGCATCTCGACTTACGTTCTCTTCCCTTTTTAAGGATAAGTTAAAGTTCTCCCTAGATTTCACTGATAACGATAAACCAACAGGGTCCCGCTTTGTGAGGCAGTATTTCTTAGAATCCTAGGAGTGTATCATGGGAGAATACGTACAATGTGTATACGTCTGTAGTCATCGACATGTGTTTGAGATAACTCAGTGCTTAAGGCGTCACCAGAAGGTTCGTGGTTCGAACCCAACCTATGCATCTCGACTGCCCCTGTCCCTCGGCTTGAGCAATCTGCCATTATCTCAGCCCTCGTGCTTCCTTCCGATGGCATTGCAGCTGGGCACCGAAATGGTGTGACAGCCGAAAGACTATTTATTATTATTTTTAGCTAGCAGAGGGCTTGCAGTGAGGTCTTGTGACACATGTAGGAGCTCCGGTCTTAAGTGGTCTTCAGAATCGTATGATAATCACCTCAATATGGGGACCCCCATCTTGCGTAATTCACTTAACGGGATTCGGGGACGGAAAGGTCGCGATGGATGAGTGGATCATAGAATCACACTTTCTTGCCGTATATTTTAACCCTCTTTCTCCACGGTGCAGTAAAACTACCTGGTTCATATTCAACATTCCATTAGATTGTCGGTTTGGATAATTCGTTTGTGAAGAGTAACAGTGTTGTGGATCATAGAATCACACTTTCTTGCCGTACATTTTAATCCTCTTTCTCCACGGTGCAGTAAAACTATCTGGTTCAAATTCAACATTCCGTTAGATTGTCGGTTTGCATAATTCGTTTGTGAAGAATAACAGTGTTGATGACATAGTTCAGTGTTTGGTTTCCTTCCGATACGCGCACTGCTTGATTTTATGGTTGCCTAATGTTCGATTGTGTGGGCTGGAAGTAGCATGTGGCTGGATTCACACTTGGTCGATTTTGCGATTGATTCGGGTCCCTATATGGCCGTAGTGTGATGGATCTTTGTCAGTATCTCCTGTAGCATTTTACCGACGATGTACACTTCGCTTCAAGCTCATTCTTTGTGAATCTACCTTCTATTAACCGGAGCGGACTTCGTCGATGCAAGCTGCAGAGCGATACGCGTTGTCAGAAACCGCTCAATGCACTTAATTATCACAGATGATCGTTGACACATTATCCTTTTATCTTGTGAGTATGGTGACCATGTTTCACAATTGCATACTACTGCACTGTGGAGATTCGTAGACAGCTTTGGCACACTTTGGACGATTCGTCTTCTACTTGTACCATACTTGTAATGCTTTTGAACATATGGGTTAACGCCGCTTAACTGCGTTAACCACCTTACTGCTTCCTTTTTCAGGTCTACACTGGAGTTGAGCTACGCTCGTCACCTGTACCACTATTTAAATTCGTTCCTTTTCGTGGAGCAACCGGATTTAACCCACACGGCAGCAGCCGTAAAAACTAAGCATTTGGGAAGGTTAGTATGGTATGATGAAAACTCAGCTATACTCCTTTTAGGTTGTTTTCCACCTGTCCTGTTTTCCAATATCCGGGTTTCTTGGTCTTTGTGAACAAGTTGTCCAGCGTTATCCACAGATTTCGACATGCGTTGTTTACATACTCTCAGCTCCATCAATTGACTTTGTAGATTTGGACAGATCCAATAGGCAGTTCAGGTGTTTCTCTCATTAGGACTGCCTAGATCATTGTGTTGCACTGTTTTGCTTCCACTATTTGTTTATTGACCGGTAACCACGTGGACCCATCCTTTGCAATGAGTGCATTCAATCGATAATTCGGCCACAACACATTTCTTCCTGATTCTAGTTTCGGTTCCCCATTTCTAGTGCGCCTTCGCGGAAGCCAGACGAATCCCTTCGTATTGTAGACTCAATCCTGCTGTGGAAGGGTCTGTAGTCTAACACGTCATGGTTAGACGTGTTCTCATTAATCAGATTTGTCTGGTTACCGTAGGTAACTTTTTTCAAACAGTAACAATTTTTTTAATGTGGCTTGGCTTAGCCGTTGACCATTGTACATACTATACCTCGTGAAATTTGTTCCAATTTTCCACGTATTCATCAAGTCTCCTTCTCTATCTAATCCTGTCACTTTTCGTCCTTTACGACGACCCCTCTGATTCATTTCAGGTTCCTAGTCGGACCGAAAACCCTGTCGGATACTGCCGAATCTGTCCAGTGTCCAGTCTTGTGTTCCCCTTGCTCAAATCTACCAGACTGCCAGCTGGTCACCTATCAAGCCCTGAGAGCCGTGCTCTGCCTCGTCGTTCGTGGTAAGCTCGCCAGTGTGTCCGCAGTGCCATTAATTTTCCTCACCAACTTACAGAACTTTTTTGACTACGGTCGACGATGCGTTGTGTTCGTTTTAGGCATCAATCCAATACCAATGGATTTCTTTGTTCGGTTCGACGCAATGGTCGGCCCACGTTTGACAATTTTGGCGGATAAGCTGGCAGGCCACCAGTCGAGCTCGCTCGTCGGCGGTAGGTAAGCTGCGTGAGTCCACGTTTGTTATTCATCCCTATCGGCTAAGTTTCACACGCCCTGATGTGCGGATATCAACTGTGACCGTTTAATACACTCACTAAACTTTGCAGTGCGTCTAGGTTTCTACTTTTTTTGACTGACCAGGTGACTGTTGACTGTTCATCGTGGTCGGTAATCAGTTTACAGAGATAGTTCGTGCGGAGTGGAAGGGGATTTATTATGTACTGAATGGGTGAAGTCCAGTTAAACATAACGTGAACTGTGCATGAGGATAAACTCTGTGGTTGGGGTCTCGTCGGTGCATTTCTCTTCTCTTCCATTGCATGTACTCAAGAGTAAAAACAAACGGCGACTGTCAGATTGCTGAACCACCTGTACAATCGCATGTGTTCAACTTTTAGCATACGACAGTGACTCACCTACCTCAGCCTGCGCATGCAACGTCGCTCAGTGAAAATTGTTCGGCTTGACCATTGCTTGCTTGTTTTATCCATGCACACCTTGAGTGTACGCAATGAAATTAACATCAGTCGGAAAAATTTGATAGCCTAGTTTCTCTGGGTGATCATGGTTGCCTCGCTCTTCGCTCGTTTTGTGGCCTTGTCGGTATTCGTCACCCAAATTGCCTGGTTCTATCACTGAACTCGTGTACCCATAGGCTTGATGATTTGACGAACGAGGACCAATCACTTCCAAACGTCTGATACTACGAATAAGTTATATGAGTGTTCGGAAAGATGCTTTCAATTTACTGATAGGCTTCACCCGAATCAGTCCTTCGACACTACGGAGATGTGAGGAATTGGTTTTGAATTCAGCTTAAGGCAATTCATAAATAAAGTACAGCGTGAAAACTCACTTGGGAAACTGTTACCACGGCGGTTTTGATCCCTCAACGAGTCGCTAAATGTTTACTGCTATATCCGTTGATTCGCCAATCTGAGGTATCTCCTGCTGACCCGCTCCACTGTCTAGTGCCGGAGAAAAAAGACTCACAGGAGGGAACACAACAGCTCTATTCCGAACAAGCGAGTGCGAGAGCGTGAGTGCGTGCGAGTGCGAAAAGTACAAGGGTTTCAAGCTATTTATTGGAAGAACACTGTCTGAACTTGGTCCAATGCTGACGCACACGGTCTGGCTTTGGCACGAGGCTGTGACGTGCTGCATATTGCGGAAGCGTTGTCTGTCTGGTCAACATCTAGCGGAGCTGAGAGTCTCGGTAGATTTCGGGTATTCAGTGGTTGCTTTCAAGAAGCTGACGTTCCTGATATTTACGATGCCTTCTCTTCTCAGCTACTCAATGGGGACATTGTAATATATGTATTTTTTTCAGCTTAGTTCTCGCTCTGAGCCTCCTAAGCTAGGGTTTACGCCAAAAAACCACCAAAGGTGTAAAAGGTATATTAACCCGTAAGCTAGCTGCAATAACTTTCTGCAAATTCCGACGCGTTCTGGATGCGACATTGACAACCAGCATTCTGCCAATACTTGGTCCTGATTGGCTGTTGGGTCCTGACTTTCGACGGGTCAGATCTGGGCTTCATGCCGGACCAGCAAGCGTTCCGAATTTTCGGCTAATCTTGCGTGGGATCGGTTTTTCGGCGGTAGCACCTGACTGCCAGTGGTAAAGTGGGATCCGTGTAGAGTTCCGCCTAACAGACACTTTCCCCGATTTCCTTAACTATTCACTGCAATTCAGGATACGTTTGCTCTCTGCGGAAATCACCTGAATAGACAAACAGGATAGTAGGACCCTTGAGAACGCCGTATGCTACAGAAGGATTTCTAGGAAGTCAATGAAAAATTTCCAATTTAGGGCGGTCGTTATATTCCATCTTTTTTTAAGAAAAAACTGGACATGCGAGTAAGCTTTCTTCATGTGCTACAGCGTCGCACACTAGAAAGCCCTCCGAAAACCTGATATTTCAGAGGAACATGTCATATGTTTCATTTTGAGGAATAGGACACCTCCGAAAACAATATTTGGAAAATCAAAATCGCATCTGTTTCGCCCTATACTTTATTTGATTTAGTTGGCTTGTTTAGCTCACAATGAGGCATAGTCAGTACGGCAATAGATATTCTATCCAGATATTTTGCTCCCACTTGGCGTCGTCACTATTTGCGTCTGTATAGATCAGTGTAAAATGGCTTAATCCCAGTGTTACGATCTACGCGGAAGGCTGTGCTCGTTGCTTGACCTCCAAATTCTTCCTATCATCACATCCGCAAACTAAATATAAAAAGTTTTCAGCAACTTTATTAGTAGCATGTTCCACGTAAATATGAAGAATGCATATGTGTCAGCATATGTAAGATTTCCGTGCGAGGTGCATGAACTTGATTCTCCAATAGTACGTGATTTTTTCATTTTATCGGATGTCTGGTACGTTTTTGGGTAAAAATAAATAGCTCATGGGCATTTCGTACGACGGAAAAACTCAAGTTCTTTTATCCATTAGTACAGATAGCTGTCTCATTTATTGTTATTCGTGATTTGCTTCCTGTTTTTCCAACCGATTAACATAAATCAAAATAATTTGCGAGGTATTTTAGGTAACCTACCTTATTAGAACAAAAGGAGTTTCTCTAATATATACCTAGAACGGAATAATGTATCCAATATTCTGTATTAATATGCCTCAAAATATATAGGTGTCCATTCATAAGCCCACCTTAGATCTTAACGTCAAACAGTCTTTCAAATCCTTCCTTTGTATCAACATGGGGCATCTCTTCTAAACGAATGCGTTTCGTTACGGGTCAATTATTTGCCCCTTACGGTGTTCGAGTTAGGGCGATATTTTTCTCTCCCTCATTGTTGTAAGTTATTTGACACAGACAAGCACATAATAAGGTGTCTAAGATCTTGCTCCCCTTAACAAGGGACCACATTCGCTTGCACGAGATGCTCTACTTTTGAGAAATTCCAAAGCAAGCGGTGTGCTTACATTTGGCGGCAAGGCACGCATTTATTGATTTTTCAGGTCCGGGATGACTTTCTTCTTTGCGCTGTCTGGTTTGCTTTTGTCCATCCATTCGCCGGTTTGTTGACAGGCCTTCGGGACTCAATCCAGTCGGCGACATTGCATACAAACAGTCCACATCATTAAATAGTAGATGGTGGTTGGTATTGTGTTGAAATATTGGTAGCTCGGGTGAGTTTTTTTGGTTGTTAATCAGGTGGCTGTTGATCTGTTCGTCGAGCATAGCCATTGGCTTGCAAATATTTCGTCACCATAAGAGGATCACCAGTGCGCTCTGAGGATGTCCCCTCGTATGGTGACGAAACGTCTGCAAGCCCATTGCCAAGCTCTGCGAACAGGTCGACAACCAATAGTAGATGGTGGTTTCGCTCCTTGGAACCTCTATCCCTTGGAAGCAGTGGGAGTTGCATGGTATCCACTCGACATATTTTGCCGCATGCTTTTAATGAGTGCTATGACGAAGACGGATCTCTAATGAGACTCTTGGCTTTTGCGCAACGGATTTTGCTACACAACTGACCATAGTAATATCGAACTAATTTTATCTCTAGCAAGACATCTGACGAATTGGTGATTGGGCACCTTTGGGAAGTCTCCAATGTATGCTATAGTTTGGTTGTAATATAACTGCCGGCACAGACTGGTAGCCTTTTATTTGTGCCAAATGCTTCCAATGCACAGAGCACCGTCGTCAATCGCTAAGAAATATTTTGAAAATTAGTCTACTACCAAGCCAACTGAAAGAATCGTACCATCCTTCTTAATTTCCGTATTATTACATGACTGTTCGTCTAGCCGACGTGAGATGCTTTCGACGTTCTCTTGAGAGTTGAAGAAACCTTTTTTCAGGAGGGGTTCAAAAATATGGGTAGGAAAACGTTCTGCAATAAAGCTGAGAGCGAATTACAGGATAAATGAATGTTTCAAAAAGGCGATTTCGCCCCCTAGTCACCTGCCCTCACGAAGATTTGTGTCAAAATCGAAACGTCGCCCAGTATTGAGTCTACTGATTATTACCAAACCTTTCCGAAAAGGATGTGCTTTTTCTTCAAGTGCTGAGCTCGAGATAGCTCAATGATCAAGGATCGAACATACTGACTTGGTTCGAACCCAACCTGTGCATCTTGATTTCTGTCTAGACTTGAGCGACGTGGAAACGTCTCAGTCCTCGTGCTTTCTTTGGGTGGCATGACAGCTAGGCACCGAAAGAGTCTTATGTCTGAATGATTATTATTTATCACGCCATCATTTGCTACTGTTCTACATCGGGGTCGAGGTGGCTCAAGTGGTTAGAGCGCGAATTTACTGACCGGAAGGTCCTTGGTTCGAATCCGACCTCTGCCATTCGACTTCCCCTGTCTAGACTTGGGGGACCTGACAGTATCCCAGCCCTCCTGCCTCCTTCGGGTGGCATGGCAGCTAGGCACCGAAAGGGTGCTACAGCTGAACGATTATTTCTATTATTTAGTTTTTACTGTTCTACATCAACCCGAAAAACAGCTCTCTCCGTCCCTGACTTATGTTGCTACTGTTCCCACGATAATTTGTTTGTAGTCATATAATATTCATTGATACAACACCGTCCCTTAGCTGGATTTCTGGTGTCTGTGAGCATAGCCTTATATGTGCAAGCGATATCATCTGAACAGGTCCTGTCTATTGCACTGCAAGAGTCACTAGTTTATCCTAATGTCTTCCAAAGCCCAAATCAAACCAAGTGAGTTTCAGATCCCTCCACGACATTCGGGTTGAGCTATGATTTTTGTTGTGCAAAAAATCAATAAGCAAGGTCTAGCATTTTTCTACTTCATGCCAATACGCGTTCTCAGTTGTATTGATTGAGTTTTTATACAGTAGGACATGCTGTTCACTATTCACCGTTTTCTTTTTATAGTTTCTCCAGGTCACTTAAAATGCGCTTTTGTTTTTGAGGTTAATCTTTTCATTCTTACTGATTGTCGGGTGGTTGTGACTCTTATAGCACTTGTGTCCACTCGTTAATTGATGTGACTTTTTTTCTTCATAGTCTCTCCATCGCTTTTGTTTGTAAATTGAGTTATTATGAATTAATGCTCAAACAGCTGATCAAGGCAAAAAACATCTGTGCTCTGTGTAGATTGTCCCGTTAATCGATGTTCATGTAATCGGGTGACCATTGTAATATTTTCAATGCCTTGTCCCTGCAGTGTATTTCCATTACAATTTACGGAGGATAGTCTTTTCACGAGTGCCGTCACGCTATCTGCACTCGGTGGCTCCAGTACCCCAGATGATGGTCCTTCCCTTGCCACGGAGGATTTCTGTGAGCAGGATTTGTCTTCAGTCCCCAAGCTGGGCAGGTCACGTTTTATCTACTGGAATGCCTCCACTTATGCCGTCATGACGACCCTACATGTATACACGGGTTCTGGTCGCCGGCAGATAAACGGAGCTAAACCACTGCTGGACTTAATGGTGAACCTGCGCAACGAGCTGTTGCTGAGGTAGGTTTAATGTTAAATCCAGCGGCATAGTTAGTACTGAATCTCACTATTTCACTGCTGTTGACAGTTGGTTAGAAAATTGGTGCCCTTTTGGTGATGTTCAAACATCTAAGACTGGCTTAATAGGCGGTTGTTTCGCCAGTGCCGTGCTGCTGAGGCATTGGTCCCCGTATAGTGATCACTCTTGGGTTTCGTGCACTTAAGCTCCATAGGAATGAAGAATCAAGATTTACCTTCGAATCGGAACTTCACTCCATCTTCTACTGTCTATTGCCGCCTGTTTTGCCTTCATAAAGTCATTAATAGTCACAGTGGTTTGCCCAAACAGCAATTTTTCCGGGTAGTTTTTCGTTCCTCATCTGAAGTTGTCTCGTAAGACACAGATCCTTTTTTTACTTTCAGACTTGAGGAAGAATGACTTAAGAAGCCAATCCGTGTTACGGTAATAGTCCCTTTACATCGATTGTATCTGGGCAAACGAAAGTGGTCTGAAGTAATGTCTAGAGGGTGTTGATCCCTGCAAACCTCGACTGCGGTACTTCAGCGGAATCTTCTGGTGAAGAACATCTGGAAAGTGATCAATGTACACACACGTAACGCGCCTGTTGAAATCTTGCACTCGCTTCAATAGACCAAATTCTGCTCCAAACTTGTGTCGCGATCGATATATGGCTTTCTTCTGTTGAGGTGGGGTAACTGAGTCCGAAATATACAGCCTCAACTAATGGAGGTTCAGATCAACGAAACAAACCTAGTTTGATGTACAGAAATACACATACCTGCAGTGAACATTACTGCATGGCATATATTGAGATTCTTAGACACGCCATATTGATCCGGTAGCTCCTGGTGGTGCTTCGCGATGACCGGAAATTACTAACTTCTAAAGTCACTCATCAATTGATGATGGTCCACGAACTGCCATGCGGCGCGCTCTGAAAGCATTTTCGACAAATTTGCAGGTATAAATCACTTCGTCTTCAGACTTGGTCGACCAACTGCTACAGTGGCTCTGCGCTGTTATCCAAAATCGGCATAGATAGGACACAGCGATATGTGCGTATTTCCTCACGTGAGGTTATGTTTGATACTTCCAAAGGCGAAAACCTACCAGTTATTAGTTTTCGAGGTGAATTGGTGAGGGACTTGGGTGAACTAGAGTTGTTTCGACATGTTAAGGGTGAAGTAAATCGTCGTTTAAACTAACAAAACTCGTAAGTGGTAACACACACCTTCATGTTTTCAAAATGGGAATCAGAGCGGAAAACCCTTTGACCATAGAACCAACGACACCCACAGTTCCACAGGCGATTGTTATCAAATTGACGTTTGGTCACTTCATTACACTATCCCCGTCGACGATCCTACGTGATTCGTCGGATTTCGATGGAAGGTGTCTTTTGGGTTACCGTTGACTCGGATTGGTACTGCGCGCATATACCCAAGGGTGCTGATTCCGGAGCGTGCGTATAAAAGACAACGGAACCATGTAGGTTGACGTTCCCTTAGGTTATTTGGCTTTTAAACAGGTAGAAGTTGGTTCCTCTGCCATGTCACCAACTCGAACAATCTGGAAAATGGATGTCGGGATTATCCTTTGAAGAGGAGTAATGAGGCAGTGTTGCATAAAGCAAGCTTAGGAAATTAATTTGGGATTCAAGAACATCCACAATTGTCCGGCGACGCATTAATTTCCCGGGATATATAGAGGTGTGTAGTGTAAAACATCAGATATGTCAGTTTGCTGCTTTTCGGATGTAAGGCGCGTCAGAGCGACATATGGGTGGTGGAGGCGGTAGTTTGTAGAAAAGTCTGGTTACTCATGAGTAATTCAAACCTGATTAACTGAATTCCTGAGACATAACGGCACCATCATGTCGAACTCTGGATCATTGGTATTAACCGAGGAGAAATTGATGTTTGAGCCATTGTGATGGTGGTGTTAGTCTCCCGTTTTTATCGACGGAATACTGGGAATGACGAGTACTCTTCGACAGCCCTCCTTGTGACTCGTCATCTCTTCGGTTTCATGAAAAACTTACGTTTACAGTTTCTCTCGATCACTGTGTCTTATTTGCCACTGGAGTATATTATTTCGATTGTCGTTATTATCACCACTATTTCTATTACCGCTTTATTCTAGGCCGTCATCTTGGCATGAAGAGATCACTGTTCGGCTCGATCCGTGCGTTTGGCTGGTTGCTCGGCGTTCAAATGGTCGAGAAATTTACATGCTCTTCATGAGGAAGCAGGAAAGTCTCATCAAGTTAGATGGTAAGTGTGACTGGAGTTCGCCTATAAGTAGGCTAAGTTCACGCCCGACGTTCTTGTTGTCCAGCACTCTCAATTCATGCACCTTGGTAGGTTGTTGGATTTCAAGGTGACCTTAATCTTTTGCCTCAAAATTGCCACACTACTTCACAGTCTGAATGCTACCCATCGTCTAGGTCTTCTCAAGCATTTAGTCGCATATCCGCGAACAGTTTCTCTCTAGGTAACATGCCATACGAATAACCCTCGGAAGTCAATCCGTCTTCCTCATACTCGTCATCAGCTCAGATGTGACTGCAACATTTCACAAAATCGACTCTTAGGAGCCTAGTTGATGCTATAGGATTGATTTCGTTCAGGAGTACCGACCAAAAGCTTCGGGCTTGACTTCACCAATGACCCCGTGGACTACACTGACTGGAATTCCATTCCACAAGATGCAACCATGCCAAAACGGCCAATGAGGAACGGCCAGACAAAGAACAAGAAGAGCGCGTACTACGAATAACCGTAATGTTGTGTCGTCTGAAGGCCTTTAGCCTACCCTATCTCTGTTTGGACCTGAAACCATAACTAATTAGCTCAAGAATGAACACCCTCGGCAAATACGTCTTAGCCAGACAACAACTGGGTTATGCATTTAATGGGTAGATCGTTAAAGCGGGAATAACCAACTGTTTATGGCCCATCTCCTTTTGCTTGGCTCGAGTCATCTGAAGATATGGCGGCTAATCAATGTCAGCGGACTTTACGCAGGTTGTCCGAATGTGTGCTGGAAATGTGGGATGTTTGTAGTACTCCACCGGTTCTGGTGGACTGGCTAGAGACGGGATTATTCCTCGAATCCGGAAGGCTAAGGCAGGTTCTGCCAACCTTCGACGCTTATGGCATTTCATGGGCAAGCGGGCGTCACAGATGCTGCTGGGTCATGGTTTCATCTACTTGGAACTGGAATGAACTTACCCATCGATGTTTTGTGACTGATACAGTGCGGAAGTGCTGGTGTCCCGCAAGTCCGGTTTCGTTCATCCAAATAAGTCCACAGGTTGCGCATCTCCATATTTTTACTGGTCTTGTTGGTATATATGTATATTGAAAATCACCATTTGATTTCAGTAATCCGCCTTAATTCATCACCGTAAAAGCTACCGAGATCTCTCTTTTGAGTGGATTTGATTACTCATATTACGGAGTTGTTCTACGCTATACACCGCCTTAATATGATTGATTAGTTCCAAAAAGGATATTCTTCGATAGACCAATTTTACACAGCCCTACGTCATGTGGGTTGTACCGGTTTGAGTTGTGTGTGTACTCACCTTGTACTCTGTCTGCTGTTCTCACTGTTGATGTTATTTCTAGTCTTGCATGTAGTTCATGTTGCCCTTGTTTACAGTGTACGTCAGCCGACTTTACAATTCCGTCTTCCGTGGTCTGCTTCTTCTGGGTTGACTGATAATCGTTCCAGCCGTCGTTCACCGTCTTTCAAGCGTCCGGATTTCCTACTAAGACCATACTAGCTCTCATCTCCCGCAATATTTCTCTCAATCAATTACCCCAGTGAGAGTGGTTCTACGGCTACTTCCTCGTTTTCAGATAATCAGGTCATCTTTCAATCTCTTTACCTCTGGACACCGCTGCAATTTTTGTCTGCCCTACATTTGTACTTTCAAATAAATTTTTGTCGAGATCAATCAGTTATTTACATTCACCATCAGAAGTATTCGGTTTGTCACCTTTTTGTGTTTGTGCGACCAACTCTTGGTCCCTATGTTCTTTGTTATAACCGGGTCCATCGGGTTTCAGGTCTTTTCGTCTTGACCAAGTCGGTATTTTGGAAACTTTCATGTAACTCTCTTTTTAGCTTGGTCGTCCAGACAGTTCATGCTATTGCTCCATCGACTTCTCGATTTCATGGGTTACAGGAACACATATTAGACTGCTGAGTTCGAGATAGTTAAATGGCTAAAGCGCGTGCTCCGAATCCAGCCCCTGCATCCCGACTGTCTAGACTTGAGCAACCTGGCAGTACCCTATAACTCGTACTCCCTTTAGATGGCATAACTGTTTGATACCGAAAGGGTGTTAGCCGGACGACTCTCGAACCGTGACCTCTGTGGTGACGTCACATCCGTTTTCTATATGGTGCTTCGATTGTTTGAACCAGACCGGTGTTTTGGTGATCATCAATGAAAGCGCTTAAGTGGAAAACCTAGGACGATGTTGGTTTAGGCTCACAGTCTGGATTCAGTCGGTCCCCGAGTTACAATTCTTGCATCATTCAGTTGATGTGACCGAATCAAACAACATTGTCAGCGTTCAGCTTAACTCTTCGGCACGTGGCAATACCGGATAGTCCAGGCTCTAAACTGTGATAAATTCTGATCGCATGTGAATCGCACTGGAATATCATGACCAAACCTGTTGGCTGTATCAGTGATCGATATAAAAAAGTTGACACCGTGATGATTGACTGTTTCTGTATTTCGCACAAACCAGTTCGTTGTTTTAGGAGACAAAAGGCCACAATCTTACTCTCTGCAGGAGATGTCAGCACGTAATTTCGCTGCGTTTCTCAATAAGCTTCATATGTTTCGAGGATGTGGGACTGTAATCTGTCGGCGTATATAAAAGTCACCCAAACTCACCTTGTGAATGTTCCGAAGATATCATCCGCGGTGAAAAGGAGAACACAATGTATTAGATGCATGTATCTGTAGGTTGGTAGCTTCAGCCCACCATCAACGAAGAAACACAAGAACACAGTCTGACAGTTTATTCTCTGAATACGAGAACACATGGTCGAGAGAAGCACACTGGGGTACACTGCATATGAACATACGAGAATTGTCAGTTATTGGGGGCACTCTCGATCTTCTCTGGATGGTATTCAAGAATGTCTTCATGTTCTAACTTCATTACCACCGCTGTTTCTGAAAATAAACAAAAGGGATTGTAATTAATGATGTCGTGCACTTTTACTTCTTCGACACATTACGGAACTCATGCTGTAACCAAGTTAACCTGCTCATCAGCAGCTAACTACCATAAAAAAAACTCATTCGGTGCCTAGCCTCTCGATCTTCTCTGGATGGTATTCAAGAATGTCTTCATGTTCTAACTTCATTACCACCGCTGTTTCTGAAAATAAACAAAAGGGATTGTAATTAATGATGTCGTGCACTTTTACTTCTTCGACACATTACGGAACTCATGCTGTAACCAAGTTAACCTGCTCATCAGCAGCTAACTACCATAAAAAAAACTCATTCCGGTGCCTAGCTGCCATGCTACCCAAAGAAAGTACGAGGACTGAGATACCGCCAGATTGCTCAGGCCTAGACAGGGCAAGTCGAGATGCAGAGATCGGATTCGAACCACGGACCTTCCTGTCAGTAAATTTGCGCTCTAACCCCTTGAGCCATCTCACCCTTGACTATAATGAAAATATGCTAAAGACTATTTCCCAGCTAATAAAGTGAATATTGACAGCTTGTATTGTTGGGTACACGTCACTTCCATTACTTTTCATTAATATCTAGAATTAGTGCTCGTTCTCTGTGGCATTCCAGCCACTCTCACTGTACGGTATAAATTTTAATCCATCATAGATAGTAGGCACAAAAGTACCTTGATGTCGATTGCGTGAAGTCCAACTATGGCACATTCGAAGAGTCTACTAGAACACGGAAAGCTAAGTCATCATGCGCTTTTTAAAAATCCTGAAACAGGGTGAGGGTGGTAGCATCATCCAACCTCACGGTAACAGACGAACCAGTTGCGATTGTTCGACTCGGGAAAGTGGCTCTGTAGAAGCGTTCCCAACTTGTCTCTGATCGTTTTTGCGTTTATTACTCCTTTACAGCCATATCTACCAGATCCTTTGATTCGTTTGCCAAAAATGCGTACATCACCTTCCGGGGCTTCCGCGATCCATTTTTCAGATCTCTGCTTTCTGAGTTCGGTAATCTTGTCTGAGAGCATGAGGAAACAAGATACAGCCGAAACCAAGGACAGTAGTCCATGTGACTCAATATTGGTCACTGGTCTGCTGTAACCGTAGTTCTACAGCTGGTTAGAAGGCTGGTATACTCCCGTGGGGTCCTCCGCATTGCTTGAAACTGGATTTTATCGCTTGAAATTTTACAGCCCTCGCTGATGATCTATCTGTCTTCTTCCTATTCTGGGAATTCTGTTTACCTGATGAATTGTCCACACATGACAGGAAGTTTAGATAGTCATATCCGGAAGTGGCGCGTTGTCCTTGAAGACACTGAGGTCCATGTGACGTTCTTGAAGATATCAGCTTGTTATTAACGGAGCTCATCGGGCTACAAATCGCAAAAATCGAAATGATCATCCTACCCCACCCTTATGGAACAGGATAGTCAAGATACATATACAGACGAACAGCTCCATGCAAACGATGACTATAGCTACGTCGTACACCCAAACAGAGCTAACATCTGTGTCATTTCGGTTCTGTAACATTGATGCTGTAGTTGAGGTCTTCCCGCGCGATTCTTCTCTTCGGCCCCAACTTCACGCATGTCATGCTTCGCCAGGTATGGTCTTCCACGTATTCAAAAGGTCACTTCGTTTAAGTCAAGTTTCTCGTAACACAACTGAGCTATTTTGGATTTTTGTTTGATTATGGACAAAATCATGGAAAGTGTGCAAACCGTTTTAAGTAGAGACCTGACTACCATTTCCAAAACTAGTTTGCTTTTTGAAGTATTACATTGAATTTGCGTCTTATCCCTTAAATGCCAAAAATGTGTACTGAAGTGGATATCCAGGCGCATCACGACCGTTGCTTCCGCACCATTCCGCAAATACTTCGAAAATAACATGAGAACGCTCAGAAATTTGGAATGCGAATTTGTCCTGACCATGTTGATCTTAACCCTATCTATATTTTGTCAAAAGCTAGTACCATCATGACCGAATGCCAGTGCCATAAAGCCCCACACACCACGATTTTTCGAAGGGTTCTGTCGGTCTCATTGGGAACAAAACAGTATGATTCAGGATAACTTTTCGGTATGTTGCTTATGGCTAAGACATTCATATAAGATGGATAAAATTAATCGGAAGTGCGAATTGGGATCAGTCGAGCTAAAAATCATCATGCTGGCCAGAACTGACATTGTTCGAGGGTCCGCGAAAGGCGATTGTGCTGAAACATGCACAGTTCGTTTCTCAATGCGCAGTTGGGAATTCCGATCACGCCTACCAAGGGCGTCTTCAGTGGCTGGATTCATAGGTCTCATTGTTTTCGATCATCTTGACGGAACCTCGTAAGTAGGTATAACGATCGTGTGTTTAAGAAATGGCAGTTGGTTTACCCATTCGAGTTCACGGGTAAAAATAGTTAATACATCATTATGGACAATCACTACCTATCAGAAAAGTCCGATCGACACCACACTGGCTAGTATGGTGTTCTTGTTTTTAGACATAAATACATTCGAAGGTGGTAGGCCAAGTGAGGAACCCATGGCTACGCGGTCCGTTGTTCCGGGAAATACTCCGTGGGACGCTGAATGAAAATTCAGCGTACTGCATAAAACCAGTAGCTTCACCTTGTCCAGAGACAAAATGTTGGGGACTTGGTTGCTGTGAATGATGTCACATATATACTATATATATATATATATATATATATATATATATATACTGCACCACATTAATGGTGATCGGAGATTTGGTCATATCGCATAGAGATTCTGTCCTCTCAGTGAATCTAGTCTGCGCTGAAAAGTTGAGAACCACTTCAGTTGTCTCATCCTTATTGGGAATCATCAACGGCACGCATCTCTAGAACAGCTTTCAACAACCCTATGAACATTGCTTCTTTAGTGCTTTCAGACCTGTCTATGAAGTTTATCAAAAGCAACCAGATGTGGAACTTTCCCCAGAAAACATTGGTATACGTATTCACAAGCCTCAGCTTTGTATTCGAAAGCACTTTTTAGACACTGACTTGTCCACAAAATCGCATCTTTATCCCTCGTGACTCAAACACCGTCTCACCTTTGATGGAGATATAAACGATTATTTGAAGATGCTTATTTCGCGGCAACAGGTCAATCCGGCGTTGGAATCACAAAGTGCTCTCCAAAATGGCGGTGTGTTTCAGTAGGTAGAATAAACACCATGTCCAATAGGCCGATATCAACCAGATCCATTGGTCATACAGGGTTAAGTCGCCCTGGAAAAATTCTGGACTACTGACCTCATGTTTGTACTGCAGTATACTCAGCGGGGCGTCGTCACCCAGCACAAGGGATTTCCGAAACTCTCCGGATGACGGTAGTCCCAGCAGCTTTTACAGTTGGCTCAAAATACATATCAGAGGGAGTCTCCGAGTAGAATGAGAAACTGTGACAGCAACTGCTGTAGAAATGGAGCGGGCCTCATCGTAAAGCTATTTCAACCTTTTCCGGACTCCGATGCTAAATAACCACCTATCAACAAGACCACAAACGAAAAAGATGGCCGGCACATAAGCAATCTGTGCGGACGGATAAGGCGTTGGGCCGAACATTTCAACAGACAATTCAACACCGAGTATCCGAAATCTGTTTGCGTCCCAGACTTTTTGATCTCTTAGTTTGAAACCTCCATTTTTGACCGAAGTCACCGGACAAATTCAGTGCCTGAAATGCCATAAGGGTCATGGACGTTGTTTGTGACGAGAGGAACCACTCTTCACAACCGGCTGACAAAATAGCTCCAGAAGGCCTGAGTCATGGAACTGATTCCTGCTAAAAAGAACAGCACCGCCATAGCTTCCCCGTTTAAAAAAGGGACGTTTTTCCAGCAACAACAACCTAGGGATCGGCCTGATATCCATTGCATCGAATTTCTTAACAGTTTTGATCTTTCCTCGATTAGCTTTACCCCGCGATTCGAGAAGACCAGAGGATTGCTGCTCAGGAACGGTGTGCCTTGGTTAAATATATACATAAGGCCAGATATTAGAGGAGCGTCACAGTTGCCAACATCTCACCTTTCCGACTCACCTTTTGGCCCAATTTAACTGAATCACTCCATACATCTGTTTGATCCATGCTAAAGCTGCCGAAATTACCGATCATTTAGGCAGAGAGATTTTCTGCAGTCACTCGTCACATGCTTTCATCAATATCAATTGGAGTTCAATTTCGTATTAATGACACCCAAAAAATCCCCGGAACTCATTGGTTCGTTTAGATTTCGCGTGAAACCTGGTCGATTGACTTCGAGACCTGGAGTATTGGAATAATGGTGTTTAAGTCCCTGGTACTTCATGCAGTGCAACTTATTCTTGATAATTTGAAAACTTGTCGAACATTCTGGAGTTCGTTTTGCTCCCAAGCGATGCCAACCGATGTCAGAATTCATAACAGGCTCAGATGGTAAGACACGTTCATCGAATGTTAACCTGTTCATTGCTTGTAACAGCAGATAACCGCTGAAAGCCAGCTGTAGGTCAGGTGACATGAACTCAGAGTCGAGTGGTTTCAGTAACGCATCTCGCCTGTTCGTTGTGGTGCAAGACTGCTTCATGCGCACGCCCTTATTCTAATGAAGTTAGTCATATTTTGATTGAGAACAACACATAATGGCATAACAGTTGTTTTCGTTTTGCCATCAAATGGTCAATACGAATCGTGTTCATTCATGAAAGCGGAAACAATAAACGTGTGCAAATTAAGAAAGAAAAAAGAAGTCACCTTATCTCATTCAAGTGCCTTGTGTGTGCACGCGTACGCCCCGCTTTGTGGTAAGGTTGGATCCAGGAGTGCATTATTACTTTCCTGAACAAGTGACCGGTCTAGCGGAACAAATTCAGGGACTGGGTTCCCGCAATCCAATACTATATATATATATATATA